TTGCCCAGCAGATACTTAGTCTTTGCATTTCTGCAAAAATACATGATTCTTTTTTTTTTCCCCAGCTCCAAATTTAAAGGAGGGATGTTTTCAGGTGTTACTCAAAGAAAGGATATTCAGATATTCTAAATCCTGGTGTGAGTTAATGTAGGTATTTCCTTTGAAGTTTTATGACATGATAATTTCTTTCAAATGTCTGCATACCTAACCCTTTCATAAACTCCATCAATGGATCATTTGAATAATGTAATCAAATGTTTCATTCTTATGAGGCTACTGAGGGTAGGCAGAGTATGTAATATTAATAAGACATTTGGGGGCCCTTATATACATAAATTACAGCCAGATAAGTGGTATGAGAGAAGAATTGGAATGGATAGATGCAAGGAATAAACATCAGTGCTGTTTTTGAAACCAAGCAGGACCCTGTAGGGCATTCCTGGGTACCAAATTTGTGTGCCTCATTTCGTTTTTGTAAAAAAGGCTTCAGTCTCCTAAGCTTTCCCTGAGGTCCAAAGAACAGACTCAAACAGTGACTAATTAGAAAAGTGAGGAATTGCTGAAACAAAGGAAAGACAGTCAAGTAAGAAAAAATAATGATAGCTTAAACAATAGTTCAGCAATGAAACAGAATCACAGGGCTCCTAGTTCCTCCTCAAGTACATACCAGTTCTTTGAGTTCTGCAGAAACTAAGACCCTCACCCAGGCAGAGAATGGTGACTACAATGCTAATCACAAGCGTGTAGACCCCAGACTGGTTGGAACGAGAAAGTTGATGATTAAGATTCCCAAAATGTGATCCTGTCACCTCAACACCAACACATCAGAAGAATGTCCATGAACTTATCATGCACCCTGGTACCCTCACCTTTAATGTTGCCTTTAAGAACCCTTGCCCCAAAGCCGTCAAGAGTTTTGTTCTTTTGAGCGCTAGATGCCCATTCTCCTGGATTGGTGGCCTGCGATAAATGCTGCACGCTCCTTCACCACAACCTGGTTTCAGTAGACTGGCTCAGTAATGTTTATAGCATTCTTGCATTATCAAAGCACAGATGTTACAGTGGCTTCACATTTTTGATAAGAGTACTGCTGATGGACCTTTTGACATAACTGGCATTGGTTGCTGCAAGCATTATCTGTAGTATCCATGGCATAACCCCATTCCCCCCTGAGCAGGCATGGAGAATTTAGATTGTCAGAATTCTCCTACTGTCCCACCGCAGGGCCCTTGACATCTTGCCAAAACCCTCCTAAAGGCCCCAGTCACATCTCTGTTTCTCAGGCTATAGATGAGAGGGTTTAGCAAGGGAGTGAGGATAGTGTAGAAGGCAGAGAAGACTTTGTCTTTGATTGGGGTGTGGTATGATTGGGGAAGCATGTATGTGTACAGGGCGGCCCCACAGAACAACATCACCACCATCATGTGTGAGGAGCAGGTGGCAAAGGCCTTCTTCTTCCCTTCTGCTGACTTCATCTGGTGCACTGTGGTGAGAACCCTGGTATAGGACG